GCGTTCTCCAGAATGCTGTCGGCCCAAGTGTCGATGTGAATGTCGAAGCCATCCTTGGTGACATTGTCGGCATAGGCTTTGACGCGGGTATTGCGGTCTTTGCTCATTTCCAACCCACACAGCCAAACCACGACCTCTGGGTCTTCTTCATATGGAGGGTCGAAAGCAATATGTTCAGTATTCGTACTCGACTGCTCGCTGACGCTATAGATATCGGCTTTTTTGGGTTAGCATTCGGTACGATACGGTCCATGTTCGATATACTCACTTCGATAATCGGTATCACTGTCCTCAAACTCCACCCACGTTGCCCCGCCAGAATAAAGCGCGGTATCTCCCCATGCATCCACATTCACGACGAAGCCGTCCGCCGTAGGCGGACTCGTCGAGACCTTCACCCTCAGATTGGCGGCCTCGCCAACTTCGAGCTCGTTGAGGCCTACGGCGATCTTTGGCGCGGTCGCATATGGACTGTCGAAAACGATTTGTTTGGAGTTGAGGGCTGCTGGTGGGAACCATTCCCTCTGCTCTGTCGTGCTCCAAGAGCCGGACGAGCGTAGCTGGAACGGATACATCTTGCCGATAAACTGCTTGTCCATGCTGGAGAGGACTACATTGTTCGGTGTGCCCTTTTTGTCGGTGAACAAGGAACCGTCAAACATGTAGAGCATGATGGACTTTTCATCAAAGGCCGTGGCTTTAGTGGTAGCCGCGGAGTACTTCTTGAAGATGTTGGTCTTGATCTCGGCATCCGACCAGTTGTTTGGGGGTCCCCTGAAGTATTTATATACCTCGTCTTCGTCCCAATTGAGCGTCACGTTGGGGTTTTGATGCTCGTGGATACAACCCAGGGCGTGGCCGAACTCGTGGATCACCACTCGGGAGAACTCTGTATCCCGGGTCTCGTCGGTGAACCAACCAAAGTTCATGGTTGGCTCGCCCGGTGCGAACCAATTCTTGTTCAAAACTCCGGTGCCAATGCCGGACCAAGATCCGTCGCCCTGTTTGAAAGCGACCCGGATTTCGGCATCGTCATCGTCAACGAACCTGAAGTCAATGTTTGCATACTGCTCCCACTGCTGAGCGTAATATTTGACCTTGTCCTGGATCTTCTTGCTGGCGCCGGGGAGAAGCTTGACGCGAAGCTTTTTCCCATTTCGCCAGAATGTCTCCGTGGGCATGGCAAGCCGGTCAGGCCCGCCCTCTGTAGGTAACGTATTTGACGATGGTGCATCATGTGGGATGCGAGCGGTGCAAACGTGCAGGTTGAATTCCTTGGGCTTGTCCTCGGACATGTTGGGTATCAAGTTGGCCTGTGGTGAGGTGAGTACTATATCAGATTCGGGAGTATGTTATCTTGATAGATGAAAGGAAAAGTGCAAGATTGAAAGACAGGTCAGTGGGAATACCAGGCCTTTTAACCGATAAGGTACGCACAGCGATTATCTTCTCTATGGTTCAGCTGAAACTCTTGTGCACCCCGAAAAGTGATCATGCTCTCGTGGCTGGCTGAGACCTAGACGGATAGCAACAAAGGGGACCGAAAAAAAATGTCCCTAATGCCGAGCGAAAAGCCCATGGCGAGCTCAGAAGTTTCAAAAGATCCCTCCATTGTTACGCAACATGAAATTTTCATACCAGCATCGTCAATGCCCAGAGCGAAAAGTCGATTGTGTTGGCTGGAATTGTGATCAGAAGTCAGTTCCGCGTGGTATAAGGCTGGAAACCCAAGAAAAACTCTTGCTTGGCTTTCTTGGCTTGCTCTCAGCTGCTTGGCTTCCGTGCTCCCAGCTGAGTGAACACGAGCAGGAGCTTGTTAAATCTTGGTTAAAGCGAGGGGAGACAGGAAAAATATGCCAATCTTTCTGGCAACCAGTGTCTGCCACAGCCCCGAGTCATTGCCTTGCGTACAGCGCCGAGCGTCAAGGCTGAAGCATGGTAGCCAATGAGAAGTTCGGTGAGCTTGGCCGGACAGCTCTGAAAGGCTGGGTCGTGCAGATACTGGTAGCAGCAGTTCGGTCACGAGGCAGTGTGCACTCGATTCTAGCCAGGCCTATTCGCATTGTGAGGATCCGGAGATTCAGCTGCCCAGCCGGTCAAGTGAAAGCTGCCCACCGAACTCGAGTCTCGTTCGAAACCAAAGGAGAACGAGCAAAAAGATCAGTCGCAGGGCAACATGAGCTCCTAGTTCCCAGGTTAACGCCTCGAGTTTCCCAAACTGCACCGTCGCAGGTAGTTGTGTAAAGTCGTCGCTTGCCTCGGGTACGGACGCTTGTGAATAAATGATAAAGTGAGTATCTAATCATGGTAGGGGTCCAGAAACAAGGCTGAGGAGTGTACCCGGTACTCTCTGGACGGGTGATGAGAAGGGCCATCAGGTTGAAACCCTGGGACTCGTAAATGAAAAAACTGTCGCTGGTCTTTGTCTTGTGATTGAGCCGCTCGCCGCTTTGCGCACCCTCGGCTCACCTGCTCCAGGTGTGCTCGCTGAGCATTGCACTTCCTCTTCCTCTTCATCCCAAAACACCAGCCGTGGTCAACTTCAGACGATAGGACTATCCGGATCTTGACCTTTTCGCAGGCAGACTTGTTGTTTTCTTCTTTTCCTTGATGACCACTCTCTCGACTAATTCCAGCCTAGAAGTTGGCTTTCATTTTTTTTTTTTTTGAGAATGTGTTTCCGCGAGTATGGTCTGACGACTTCCGCATGCCAACCCACACGACCACAATGACACTGTTTTCCGCAATGAGGTGTATCTTCCTCTTGTCCGCGTGGCATGTCGTGGCGAAATAATTCCGCTTTCTCGCGCCGTTGCGCACAGTCACACCATACTTCGCAAAGGCTGTATGCGCCTTTATAAAACCGTCTTCCGCGAGAACATAGTTTCTCAGGCCTTGGGTCGATCTATTTTCTTGTCTTCTCAATCCGCTCCGACAGCCGAAGAGCTTGACATAGTCAGTTTGTATTCATTTTGCCAAAACATACTAAGGGCTTACTATCTCCTCTGCTCTGGCTTTTTACATCACTTTCTTGATTACTGTAGGGTTGATTTAGAAATCCAGGAGCGGGGCCATTCAAGTTGGGAGGAGAGGCTTGATCTTAGCCTTGTGAAAGCTTCGTGTCTCCCTGATTATCTAATTAGTTCCTTAGGACCGATAAAACGAGGGTAAACGCGGCCAACCTTGCGTAAGTCGTCGCACAACCAGTCTCTCGCCTCCGATAAATGGTCAAAATGTTCTTTCAAAGAGCTCGCTCTGTTAGCTAAGAAGCAGTGTGGAAGTTTAGCTTTATCCACACAACGAGCTCTTTGAGCTATGAAGCAGTGTGCAATTTAATTTTTATCCCTACGATATAGTTTGAACCCGTTAGCTCCGAGCCATTCAAAATAGCGGCTTGTAGTGCATAGAGCCTTTTGCCCGTAAGGAAACAAGATAGCGAAGATGGGTGATTTATGGCCTCGCCAATTAATTCCATCTCTTCATTTTCGTTGCAGGTCTGATATCTCGAGAGCTGAAAGCGAAGATCTGATTTTCCGATTTTGCGGCGCTCTATTCCGTTGTGAATTGCAACTGTAATGTTGCAAATATCTTGCAGTGGTCCTAAAATATCCAGGCCAGCCATCGGCAGGTGCGAGCGAAACCAATAGAGGAATGATCCCATTCAAATTGGTGTTCTTAGTTGCTTGAGGGTTATACATACATCGCAAAGGATCGGGAAAATTATGGTGAGAAGTTTGCCAAGCACCCGTCCTATAAGTGGTAGATACTCGATTTTGTTGCCGTTGGTTTGCGGGGACCATACATACCTGCCAGCTGCGCGATAGGAGTGGTTCGATGTCTGCAATGCTGCGACAGTAAGTCTGGCGCCTCTTTCGAGCCCACATGCTTGAAGTTGGAGACACAGTAAGGCCTGTCATGCGTCCAGTCAGCCTTGAAATGGGAATGGGTCGGCAATCTCCTGATAATCGTTAGGATCTTTTGCCTTGTTGTCTAACAAGTCCTTGTACGCTGTCGACTTGGATTTCGCTACCATTGCACCCCTTCCCTCCCGCAACACCCGGGGAGGGGCGGCTGTCGAATATCGTGCCTCAATGCATTGTGGTCTCGTGGCTGTGTTTTTGCGATATTCAGCGACTTGGGTTTTGGGCGCACCAGGCGTGTTTCAGGACGTGATGTTTGTCCATAGGTGTGTAAGGCAAGGCTCGAAAGAGATCACACACCCCTATACAAGTACAAGCCGAGTCGAATTACGAAAGGAAGGTGAGCCGGGTGAACTAATTTTACTTGCCACTTTTGTCTCAGTTCTCAGACCCATCGGCTCAGTTGCCTTGAGCGGGCAGGGCCCACTGTTTAGTTAGCCTAGCTAATTAGGGCGGAGCCCCGCTCCCCCCATATCAGGTCTGAGGACTGACAAAAGCCAGTAGCAAGCACCAGCTAGACCCTCTACCTGATCTATGTACTCGGTGCTTCTGCAGGACGCTGAATTAGGAAAGCATCGCTAAATATCGTGGACGTGGAGATAGAAGAGGAGAAGAGTCTGCGCGGGTTTGAAATTTGCAGCCAAGCGTGGTCTTCAACTCACAAGCGCCGAAAATATACCGGTTCCTGGTCATGGCGATTTCAGAGCCACCTCGCATCCACACTAGCAACAGAAGAGGGATGATTGACCGTCATCAGCTCCAACACAACGACAGAGAGCCCGAATCATCTGTTGTTCCAAGCACGAGATCCACGAAGCCCGTCAAGATTGCATCTTTTGCTCGCCAGGGATGCTGGGGCGACTTTTCGCTCTGGTATGGCTCATACACACCCCCTGTTGCGGTGCATGTCGACCGCAGTCATCAGCGAGCAAATATTTACTCGGACAGCTAGCGGTGCTCGAAAGATTGCCGCAAAAGCGATCAAGAAGATCCATGTGCCTGCGTACTGGCTTGTAGTGTTTGGCGTCCAATTCGTGGAGAAAAGCGGGCGTGGTTGAGGAGAAGAAGAAAGTTATTCTCATGTCGTCCATACCCATCATTGTGGTGGTCGACATTAACATCGAAGAACTGGTTGCGCTGGCCATAGACATGCCCGAGATTGTGCTGGATGCCGGCATCGACACCGAGCCTGTTAAGCTCGTCATTAACATATCTATGGCTAACAATTCGAGGAATTGGAACGAAGACGATGTTTTCGCAGGTTTAAGATGCAGCAGCGCAAAACAATACGGCGGCGAGCCCTCTCAACCATACTCTGACAGTTTGTGGTCACTAGTAGTTTTGATTTATTGCGACACCCCAGAAAACTTGCTCAACGCATTGTGGACTACGTATCTCATCGGCCATGACCACTAGTTCCCACTAGTAAGTGGGGATGATCTCCAGTTGAGCATGTTCCCAGAGGCTATCAACCGCTCTTCTCCACAGCTGGATTCGTCGTGCGTGGTACGGGTCCCATGATTGAGACCCAATTCTACACTCGCTAGATGGTGCATTGTTGCAGAGAGATGTCTTAAACAATCCCCGGCAGAAGCTGTCCAATGCCGCTTGAACATCATCACTTATGCTGTCGTTGTTCTCTGCCCGAGCTGCCTCAAAACACCCTATATCGCCGGGCTTGGGACGACGAAAGTAATTGTAGTCGTGCAACTGTGACACTTGCAGCTGGACAGGATGGCAGCGTGGCTCTATGAACCTGTTATATTTCATTCCAGCCGGGCATTCGACCGCGACGGTTTTACTCTGGACCAATGCCGATACTACAAAGACCATTTCCATAATTAGTGACCTGATACCTTCCAAGAGATACCAAGTAGGCACGAAGAAATGGGACTGACAGCTGCGCCAGGCATGTTGTCGACTGGGCGTTTGCACTGCCAACGGTGGCGTTTTTCGTGTCCACCATCGGTGTTGCAGCAAGTCGGTATTTGTCATATCGAGGGTTTCACATAAAATCCATCGATTGGAGCTCGGTGCCCATTGGAGTACCCTGTTGGGAGCTATAGGCGCCATTTTTTTCCCTTCTGTACGTTCGATCAGGCTGGTTGGCTCTGGCGCGCATGCCGTTCCTCTTGTACGCTCACCGATATGGTGATTCCTCATTATACTTACATAATGCAGCGCGACCGCAAGCAAGGCAGACCGGATCACGCTGGTGACCGGAGTTACACATGAGAAACTTCATGTCTTCCACCAATGGATCGCATACGCCTCCTTCGTCCTGGCACTGACGTATACATTTCCGTACATTGTCTGGCATGTTCGAAATCACGACATGGCCAATCAGGTTACTGTTAGCAACATCTTCGAATACTGCATCGGCATTGTTGCCCTGGTCTTCCAAGTGAGCTCAATTTTGGGTCCTGGGATCCGATTTGGTGAGCAACCTGGTCGTAGCGATGCCATTTGAAGGATTCGCTGATCGCTTGCCAGGGATCTCGGCTATGAATTCTTCCAAGCTGCACATTTCTTCTCGGCTGTCGTGTTTATTTAATCTTTTTCTGGCACTGTAGCCGTACACTCACCTCATGGTATCCTACTCGATGCGATGTTGACCTCGGATTCGTCTGACAGACACCACATAGGGACTATTTCGTCACCACAGCAGCAATCTACGCCCCTTGTTGGACCTATTCATGGCTCCGGACTCTCTTCGAATAGGGTATCAGGCAAATAGCATAAGTCCTCGTTGAAGATAATGGCTTCGTACGCATCTCAATATTGGCAAACTTCAAATGGCGACCAGGTCAACACTGTTTCTTGCGGTTTCGCAGCTTCGGTATCCATGCCTTGAGTTCTCACCCCTTCACTGTCTGCTCACTGCCATCGACATCACCAGAAAAGCCGTCCGAGCTTGTTTTCTATGTTCGACCCCAGGATGGCTTCACAGAAAAGCTGTACAATCGTGCAGCCACGCTCCCAGACGCGCTGGCATCTGCGCTTGTGGATGGTCCCTACGGAGGGATCGACAGTCTGAAATACCTCGGCAGCGATCGTCTTGTTATAGCTGCTAGTGGCGCAGGAGCTGGATGGATGCTCCCATTTGTTGAACAATTCCTGCGGCATCTCTCCTCGACAGTTCAACATGGTCATGTGGTAAATGAGATCCAAGAGAGCATACACACCTCCGATGAGCCAACAGGGCAACGTGAGACATAGCAACTCCTACATGGCTGCACGCAGCTTTGGATAAAATGCTATCGGACTACACATCACTAGGCACAACCATTAACTTAGGTGTTCAAGCCCATCTGAATGGCGAGGCCAATCCTATTGTGCAACCTCTGACCAAATCTGCGTAGTATTTAGAAAGATCAGAAACCTTGTCGCACGAAGCGCCCTCCAGACCGAATGGTGAATGGAAACAACTTGAAGAAGAGAAACTCGACAGAAATTATGTACCGGAGGAAGAGATACGCGGTCGTCCAGATCTGCCGCTGAGTATTCGAGGAGAATCTGCCATAGCGGCAGGGACACGACAGACAATCGACGTCTTCGTCTGCGGGCCACTTGAGATGCCAGACGATGTCCGCAATGCCGTGGCCAAAAGAACTTGGGTATCTTGAAAACCCAAGATCTGGAGGGACGTATTTGCATCTCAAACATTTCTCGGAGGTGTAGCGAGATTGAAGGTGAAATCTGATCTCAGAGACACAACCAACGACAACGTGAGTAATTGGCATTAAACCATTGCTTACCATCTTGCTATTTAAAAAAATCTAGTGACAGAGCGTTTCGTCTCGTTTCCCAGGACCTTTAGGCCGAATGACAATGACTCGACGTTTCTACAATCTGTCTCTGCCTGCCGATCATAGCAAGGAAACTATTAAACATGTGCAGATCTCTGCTACGAAGTAGCAGAATTAGTTGAGTGACGAGCCTGCCCCGAGAGTGGAAGCAGTATGCTACCCCAGCGCACCCGGGGCTTCCCTATTCGGTGCTTTCATATCACTCCCTTGACCGGACAAGCATCATCTGGCTTCGCCAAACACGAATAATCTTCTGCCTAGCCACAACAGCCTGTAATGTCGGCAGCCTCAGGCTTTTTCCTGTCAAGTTTGAAAAGCCAGCCAGTCAGAGGTTTTGCATGTAAGATGGTTCAGATGGTACTCACTTGGCTTCGTTTAGAAGTTGGTCCCAGCTGAAGATAAAAGCTCCCAGGAAGGCTCCAATGATAATGCAGATAATAATGTAGCCTTTGGCGAACAATTGTCAGTGGGATTTGAGCAATCCTCTCTTCCGCAATGAACTCATACCGTTGTAGTACATAGCGAGCAACATGATAAAGTAGGCGACGCCAAACTGCACCGCGTGGAGCAAAGAACGAAGCACTTGCCGTTGCAAGAGTGTCATCCGGTCGATCCGAGGAGGAGCAGAGACGGGGGTCGCAGCGGGCAGCGTGCTCCCAGTCGGTCCCTTTCCGTTCGAGTTTTGGACAGACGAACCTGAGCTGGCGTCCAAGTCGTGTCGTGCGTTGAAAGCAGCGAGCATATTCTTGTCCTTCTGAGCGAGCCAACCATCATACTCGCGCTGGCCTCGTCGCAGGAATTCGAGAGAGATGACGAGGCAGATCACGCCGATGCAGGAGCCAGCAAACATGCCGCCGGAAGTGATTTGCCATGAGTCGGAAATGAAGCCTGAGGAAGATGTCAATTACAAGGCCGAGGCGACTTCACCGCCAGAGTCCGACTCACAAGCACCAACGGTATACCAGTTCCAGGTCATCGAGATTTTGCAGGTATTGCCCATGCCCATGCCTCCCATGTCCATGCCCGAAGCCAATGAAGACGCTGCGGCCATAGACATGGTGGCAGTCCCCGTCATGGTGGTCGAGGCAGTGCCGGACATTGAAGACATATCCATCTTGGGAAGGGATGTGCTCGAAAGGTTAGCAAAGACTGTGAGCAGGCAGGCAAAGTGGAGACGAAGAAAGGCTGGAGGTGCCGCAACGTGGACGAACTGATCATTTTATCATCAAGGTGGACGGGATGTCTAGTAGGTGGTATGAGAACTGGTCTTCCTTTCTCGGCTGGGAAACTCTGTACGGTCGCCCGTTGACCAACTCAGCCACGGCCCTGGATGAAATTCTAAGCGGGTCACTTCGCATGACCCCGAGGGTCGCCCGTCATCAGTGGCGTGGTTGGAAGCCGAGAAAGAGTGCCACCCAGCTCGTGGAACCACCTGTGTTGGCGAATTGGCTCGTTCTTCTGCTGGCCAGAACCAACGCCCTTTGCACTGACAATCGACATGGAAATGCCAAGAGATGGCCCCGAGTGAGCAAGTTTTGGGCGTCCGCTTATTCGACAGTGTAATATCCCCACCGTCCCACCTTATCCCGATGGGTTCTTGAGAGGCGCTGTGGTTGACCGGTGGGCTGATAGGCTGATTGGCTGGTCGAGAACCTCTTCTTTCACATCGGCCTTCGAGCAAGTTTCCACGATCGACTGTCTGGATCTTGCATGTGTAGGAGAAAATACAAGCCACGGCACCCCTTATCACTGGGGAATGCACTTCCCGCACTCGAGCTTAGCCGGTCAGTCGTCAGAAGGACTAGCAAGCAGTCACAACAACGCAACCTGAACCTTTCCCGATGAGGGTAACCGGACGCTGTAAACTGGAAGCGGTCCCTTCACCAGGAATGCAGTACACGGAGGATTAGGCCCAGAGCCGTCCGGCACCTCTTATTCTACCTACTCCAGCCATCTATATCCCTAAAGAGGTCTTGGAGATGCGTTGTCACGTCATCAGGCCACTCCCCCCGTGGGAACGGCACACTGATGCAGTCGTTGAGGATTAGACCAGCAATCAGCGGACTCGTTTGGGCGGTGATGTTGGGAAAATAATCCATCCACCGTGTGTCGTCAGTCCTAGCACTCTGACCGGGTCTTCTGGGGAAATCCCGGATGTCATGATGAGCGGGAGAGCTACAACCGGACGGGAAAGGTTCCTCTTTAAATAATCTCTCAAGGCCGAGGTTGAACATCCTGCCGGTAAGAGACCATCTGGACAGTTCTCTCAAAGCAAGCCTGAGCGTGCCAAAGTCGGCGTCGGCGTCGCAAGTCAATGCCTCGATCTGACGAGCTCGTAGGAGAGCTAAGATGGCAACAGTGCAGTACCAGACGGCCTCACAGCCTAGGTACTGGACAGATCCACGGCTGAGGTATGCTCGGAAGATTGCTGCGATCCACGAGGCTGCCGCGATTGCGGGTATAGATGCCCTCGGTATTGTTCCTTGGCCCTTGCTGAAGTGGAGGACAACAACAACTGTAAGATATCCAAGATGGAGATAATACACGTCTCGGTTGAAATCCAGCACCGAATGGTCGCCGACCGGCAGTTGTAGAGCGCTTGGTAAGTTCTGTGCCCAGTCAATCAGTTCGCGGGCTAGGAGTGCCTTGCTCTGAGCATCCTTTTTCAGAAGCAGTTCTTTAGTAATGCGTCCGGCAATATCCCAAAAGTGAACCCATTGGACGAAAATAGTTGCAGAAATGTGCTCCGGATCTGGGAAGTCGTCCACTGTAGCCATCTTGATATCGCAATAGCCCTTATCGATGATAAGCGGCAACCCTTGGGCTAGCGCTGCAATGCGATCTTTCACCTTCAAGGATATTAGTGCTGTACTTCCTTTCCTCCGTTTTGCACGTACGCTTACAAACAAGGTCCACCATATCCTGTGTCTGAGTGCTGGCGTCTCCCCTGTATAAGCTGGTTGGGCCGCTATTGGTTCTCGGTGTAGTCCAATTTGTTGAGCCAGGCGAACTGTTGTCCCGATCCACCACCAATTGCTGTCCTTGGTGACCAAATTGGGCGGACTGAGACTGTACCAGTGGAACAGCATGACGGCAGATATTTGCGAAATGGGATTCTCCGGGTAGTTAGTATAGAAAAGACCCTTTGCGCGTCTATAGTGATCCAGACAAGAGGTGAGGGCGATAAGCGGAGGCTGAAGTCGGACGCCGCAAAGAGCTAGCGCGTGTTTTAACAAAGGTGAGGATAGAGTACTTGGGCGTTCTCGAAGCATCTGCTTGTCCAAGACGGGGCACCATAGGTATATGTACTTGAAATAGGTCTCGAGATAGCTTTGCATGAGCTCGTATGGGATTTCGTCCAGGCTATTACGCCGCTCCATTGGCAAGCTGCCTGTTGTAGGGCTATCTGCATTGTCGCTACTGAAAATTTGCATGCAGCCCACGTCACCTAGGTAACTTTGAAATCCTTGCGATACAGGAGTACCATTATCAGGCACCATAAACCCTGGTTCGAGGGGTATTGTAGTCGAGCGTAGCTGCCTAGCCTCACGTGAATCTAAGATGTTCGAGTGTCGATGCCCGGATAAGGATTGCAACGCAGACGGTGTAGGCTCACACAATATCGGCCCACCCGACTCATTTGGGAGTGTATATGGAGGGAACAGATGGCCTTCATCGTCCTGCTCAACAGAGGTTTCGGCGGCGTACTCTGGGTTATCTTGTGCGTCTCCTATCCATTCACTAGGACGCCCCATGTTACTCTGTACAATATGGCTGGCAGAAAGAAGAGGTGAACGAACGCGTCGTCTCTTTCCACGATTCGATGGTCGTAGTCTTCGTCCATTAGATGCTGTAATTTCCTGAGATACGAATCTTGTTCTACATACTGGCAGGTTGTGTTTGTAGTTATACAATTTTGGCATCTTGCCGTTTCCTCGTTTGTATGTTTCAAGAGGTCGCATTTTATCTGGTACAAGATTAGTTCTGCAGGCAAGGTAAGTCGAAAGTTGACCATGCCACCTTTTTCTCGTGACAGCGTTGGCAAGCCCGGCCAGCTCTTTGACGTCGCTTGTACACCGTCGTCTCCCTGACGTCCGACATTCGGAGCAGCCGAAAGGATGTTGTACAGATAAGCCCGAGGTGATATTCAAGTTATTTCCTGTTGTTCCGTTCTTTGCGCTAGTGGTCGCAGCAGCTGGTGTTGCTCGTCCGCAACCCGTAAGGCAGGAGGCAAAGTGAACGGCGGGGAATATCTGGGGCTTGCGAGAGCGGGGTATGGCATTAGTTGGGCCAGAAGCCGGGGTTTGCACCTTCATCATCGGTTTCGTTCGCGTATAGCTAAATACTCCGAAGGCGCGCTGTATTTTGTCTGCAATGATAGCTATGGCAGATATAGCCTTTGTGGCGCCTTAAGCTCTTGATTGGAGCTGAAATTATTCCGTCAAGGAGCTTACGGCAGCCAGGAAAAGATTCCATGTCGACGCCATCGTATTCTAGATTAACGGTGGTAGTTAACGCAAACAGCGTTGATACTGCCGGCTACCAAACTGGCAACAGCAATCCCAGTGGCGATGGTATTATCATACCTGTTCGATGTCTAGGGGTGTTCATAGTACGTGTGAAAAGAGAGTTAAGACTTGGCGGTCACGCGGTAGTATATACGCTTTGGCGCCCGAGAGCTTCAGTGCCCGAGCCGACTCGGATGGCATGCCGAATTTCAACTATATGACTTGGATTCTTGCTAATATCCAAAGGGGACAAAAAAGCGGGACTTCACTGACTTGGACAACTTCATCAGCAGAATTGCAGGTGAACCGTGAGAAGGACAGAACTCCCCTGACATGTTGTGGGCCATTTATGCTTTGATATCACCATCGCCAAGTGCATTCTCCTATTTGTAAGACCGTGTTGAAGAAAAGGTCGCCAAAGTTCGCATATGTAGTCGGTGCAGCTGGTAACCAGACAAAGTTCGTCAAGGTATATGCCGACATTCCGATTGTCTTACCATGAGTGCGGAGATGTGTCGCAAATATCTCAGCAGTGTACCACCACGTCACTCTATCAAGGAAGCCACCATAGAAGAACACGAAGAGATAATTGAAAGAAATACAGTCCTCAAGTCCCGCCTTGTTGGTCGAGGTGTCAAAGCTCGCAACCATCGCCACCTCCAAGACCACACAAGCACAGGATCCTACAAGTCTAGCAACACGATAAGCTTTGGCCGTGGTAGCCGATCAACCCAGAGCGTAGCAACATGATTTGAGGCAATAGAAACCACCAAGGAACCGGCTTGGAGGAAGCCCTAGTCTTCTAGGCTGCACGTCAATCGACCGTAGGTAAATGGTGGCGTAGTCTATATCATAACACGTAAATAGGAAGCGTGCTAGGCAATTCGATTGACTTCAACAACTTGGAAATGACGTCGACCGGGTAATTTGAGAGAACTCACTGTTAATTACCAGCATTCCTGAACTCACAAGCGTAAAGAGCAGTAGAACTGTCATGAACACTCGCTTACGGTAGGATTGGCGTCAGATAATCCCTACATACCCTGCCTCCAGAGATCGATCGAAGTGAATCTGGATATTCATTTGCTCGAATTCCCTTCTTGCGAACGATTCATCGCGGTGCCAGGTGTGAAGGTCTTGAACAACTTTCCACGCCTCTTCGGACCGATTTTGTAGCGGAAGAAATCGAGGGCTCTCCGGTCCAACCCATATCGAAGTCGTACATAGAATCGCAGTCAAGGAGGATTGATGAAGATGAGTTGACATCAGAGAGGATGCCACGGTCTCTAAGCGGAATAATTTCAGTGATCCACAAAGGCACTGCCACCGGTTCCGTGTCAAGTCCCATCTCATGCAAGAAACTTGGTTGGCCATTATCATTTCAATGATGGGCGCCCCGTAGCCATATGCTGCAGCGCCCCATGACACTCCATCACAGTATGAGAAGGCTGTCAGCTGTAGTGCCGGCGAGACTTTCCCTCCAGATTTTTCCACTGACAAGGGAATTCTCTAAAATTGTGTCCTTCGGACGCACACTGTAAAAGTCGTTCTTGGTGGCGGTAGCAGATCCAGCATTCGGGTCTGTTGAATTTATGGAAAGCAGCATAAATGGGAAGTTCGTTATTATTTCTCCTTTTGGCCCAGGCTTCGGCGATCATCGTCCAACAATGAGGACGTGGAAAGGTCTGAAGAGTGGTCGGAGAGGGCTCGACTCATTGATCCTTTAGCGAGATGCTTTATATTCCATGTCGCTGAAGTAACTGTTTCAGATGTGGCTTGCATATAGCCGAGTTCTCTATTCAGTTTTGGGGTAATAATCCTAGTGTATGAGGCGCCCGGCTTCCCACCGGCTTCAAACAAGACTCTGATTGGACAAAGTCAACCTTTACCGAAGCTGGGTCTCTGAGCAAGGCCGGATCTAAGACGCTTTGGGCCATGCCTCGAATTCTATAACCGGAATTTTCGTTTCCATCACTGTTATGAGCATTTCTAATGTTCCAAGCGCAACCGGCTACTGGCAGAACTCTTCTGATCGGTCTTGTGGACTTATGGTCCACTCGCCTAAGTTACCAAGACTTGAGAGGGAACCGGTGTAAATGGGGGTCATGAAGGCGATTGCCCGGTACGTCGAAAGGCCCGTAGGTAAGATCGTCGGCCGTGCTACTCTTCTCGAAAAAGATGTCAACTATACCTTCAACCCAACAAGTCAATGGCCAAGTTAACGGCCACCTCAGCGGCAAAGCAAGCCCCGAATTCGACGTGATTATCGTGGGAGCTGGGCTTTCAGGATGCTACTCCCTCATCAAAATGCTTCAGTTGGGCCTCCGTGTCAAGTGCTTAGAGGCAGGAACAGGAGTTGGAGGCACGTGGTACTGGAATCGCTATCCAGGTTGCCGGTTCGATTCTGAAAGCTACACTTATGGCTTCAGCTTTTCTACAGAATTGCTCAACGAATGGAACTGGACAGAGCATTTTGCTCCCCAGCAAGAAACAGAACGCTATATCAAATTCATGGCGGACAAATTCAATATCCGTCCACACATCCAGTTTTCCACTCGAGTTGAGTCAGCACACTTCAACGAGAGCGATATGACCTGGGTCTTGAATACTGATACTAGTGAATTCTTTATTTCCCGGTTCTTCATTACCTGCATCGGTCCACTGTCAGCTTTCACGCTTCCCAGGTATCCTGGACTGGACGATTTCGAGGGACAGTCATGTCATACAGCTCGTTGGCCAAAAGGCGGCATCGATTATGTCGGGAAGCGAGTAGCGGTTATTGGCACTGGTGCCACTGGAGTTCAGACCATACAAGAGGTCTCAAAAACTGCCAGCCATCTTACCGTGTTCCAACGCCGACCAAACTGGTGTACTCCGCTTCATAACAGCAATATCACTTCCGAAGAAATTCAGAAGATCAAAAAGGGCTATCCAGAACTTTTTGAACATTGTCGAGGATCGTTCGGAGGCTTTATACATCGCGCAAGCCCGCTGTCCGCCCTTGAAGTGACGCCTGAAGAGAGAGAAAAGTTCTGGCAGGGTCTGTACGATTCACCAGGATTCGGGATCTGGATGGGCAACTACAAAGACGTATTGGTTGACCGAAGAGCAAATGGACTCCTCAATGAATTCATAGCCAAAAAGATCCGCGAAAGAGTCAAGAACCAAGAGACCGCCGAGAAACTGATCCCTAAAGACCATGGATTTGGTACTCGCCGGGTGCCCCTTGAGACCAAGTACTACGAAGTCTACAACCAAGATAATGTAGACTTGGTTGACCTGAAAGAGACTCCGATTGATCGCATCACACCAAGAGGCATCTTAACTGCCGACAACAAAGAACACGAGTTCGATGTGATTATTTATGCAACGGGCTTCGACCCAGTGATGGGCGCTTTTGATATAATCGATATCCGAGGTTTGAACGGACGGCGATTAAAAGAGACATGGAACGGCGGACCGAAGACGTACCTAGGTTTGACAGTCGAAGGATACCCTAACATGATGATGGTCATGGGGCCGCACTGCGCATTGGGTAACATTCCCCTCAGTATTCAGTATAGCGTTGAGTGGATCGCTGGGCTCGTGCGCTATGCCCACGACAACAACATTGACTACATCGAGCCCAAGTCGGAAAGTGTGGAGAATTGGACAAATATTGTGAGAGAAATAGCGAAGGGGTTGGTTTCGAACGAAATTGATTCCTGGATGACGGGAGTTAACAGCAATGTGGAAGGCAGGCAGAAAAGAATTATTGCTCGGTACAGCGGTAGTTGCCCTTCGTATCGGGCACGATATGAGGCAGAGGCTCAGGGTAAGTACCAAGGTTTGAAGCTCGCAACATGAAATCAGGGGACAGCTTTGGAACACTGACGGCAAGTTGGAGCGTCAAAAGTGCGAACAGGCTGCTATCAAGGACCAAACCCAACCCTTCGTTCAAGATTCCAACGTCCAGATGTTGGAGCGAAGTAGTTCTATAATTTGTAGGGTCATTCTTTCCCAAATTCCTCGAATCCGTCTTTCCTTCGATTCGAGATGTAGCTACCTTGAATGGCCGTCGCCCGCGGCCGCCGCTAGGCTGATATTGCTAGGGTATAGGAGAACGGTCAGAGTCCTTGCAGTGGCTTTGGCTAGATTAAAACGAGCAGCATACCTTCTACCACGAATCTCACTTCTAAAGGTTCTGCCGTTCGTCTTCTTCCTATACTTTGATGCCGTAATCATATGCATATTTCAAAAAAGCGCTGCGGTCTAAGGCTACTTACAGAGGGCTGCCATTTATGTCGAAGGTTTGACGCTTTGCCTTGGGTTTGCCTACTTGTGATAAGAATTGACTACTTTGAAATGCGATGGAGCATACATGGGCCTAGATCTCATATGAGGATAAAGGTTTGGTTAATTTCGAGTACAAGATGAACCACTGACGTTGCTACTAGCATTTCTCGACGATAATATACGTTGTATGGAGGCGTTTCTCAATTTGATTGTCGCTAGGTTGGCCAAGTTGTAAACACAAAATGTACAATAGAATGACAGGTCCAGGGCAGGGCAGCGCCAACATTTATGTTGACACCAAACACTGATTTCGAGTCCTCGCTCAGGAACCAAACTACGACGCGTGCCACATCTTCGGGATCCAACATTTGCCAGCCCCTGGTTTTCCAATCTTCCAGCTGTGCCAGATTTCCACCAATGAATTCCTTCATCATGGGCGTCTGGGTCGATGCTAATGGGCAAGGTTAGCATTTTGGTTCTCTCACGGAAATGCTTTCACATACCCGGGGAAACGCAATTGACTCGAATCCCAAATGGATGGGTATCCTTTGCAACACTCTGGGAGAAGTGGGCGCAAGCAGCTTTGGAGGTGCGGTAGGCATAGATGTCAGGATCGTGCTTCAAAGAAGCCATACTACTGATATTCACAATGGCCCGATCCACAGGAGAGAGGTCTTTCATGACGTTAATCTCGGCTCGGGTGCAGTAGAAGACGCCTGACAGGTTTACGCCCATGATCCGAGACCACATCTCGTCAGTCTCTTCGAGTATGTTTGGTGCTTTCCTCGCCCCAATCACCTGCGGCAAGCCTGCCACATTAGCTGCGCCATGGAGGTCGCCAAAGTTCTTGATAATAGATTGAATCCACTCGTCAACTGCCGTCGGCTTCGTCACGTCCAAGGGAGTACAGTGTAGCTCTGTTAACGGATTCACCTGGGCGATGGACTCTTTCAAAGCTACGAAGCCAGTCGATGAGATGTCAGCGGCACACACTGCGCGTGCACCCCGTTCGGCAAGAAGGCGGCAGATGGCCGCACCCATACCTAGCAGAATTCAGAAAGTCATCTAGACGAGGCATAGATTGGTCTGACGATTGGGCCTCGCCACATGGTATTGACTTACCAGAGCCTCCACCCGTCACTGCAAAGACTCTTCCTTCGACGCTCATGACTGGCAGTACCGACTAATAGTAAGTCTAAACTAAAACGTAGCAATAAAATTCCAAGGATTCACCTTTGGTTACTCTCCTCTCGCCAACTGCTTCAGAAATTGTGTGCATTTATGTTCGGGCCATACATTGGGAAGGCAACATCGGAGCTATTAACATTCGGCTACGGTAAAAGCATTGTTCGGTTGCGGCGAAGTGGAATCAAATCCACAGAACTCAGGGCGTTTTTTCCATTGGCTTCGGTGATTTCGATCGCCTTTTTGACAAATGGGACCGCGCCAAAAGGGCCTCAGCCTCCTCAGCAGACCGGGTCGGCAACCCCAACTCCCACATCTCAACTAGGCGCGGTCGCGAGGATTCTCACTGTCGACTCCCTTGATACTCACGCTCAACGTCACGGTTTTAGATCGAACCCACGCTCTCCCCGTGGAGATGGATCTGCAAAAGGCTGTCGTTGAGATGGCTTCACACTATCCAGCCTACCCCTACCCCTGCCTCCGCATTTATATTCCACCCCGACCCCCCCCCCTTATGGCCCAAGTCGCCGCTGTTTCGCCGTTTCTTCAGTCCTCTGTTTCCCATGCCTTTCCTCCCGAATCCTTTAATGAGCGTTCTCCATCGTCCACAGAAGTGGCTTGCATACCAGCCCTAGTGCTCAACCTATGCCTTTATAATATGCAAACTTCGTCAAGAATACTAACTGCGTTGCACATAACGACGTTAAGCTGCTGAGTTTTCCGATGTTGACACAACGTTCAAGACACCCCGGGGTAAGGCTGCCCGTTCACACAATACTGCCAAGGCGTTCATGGAAAAAAGCGCCCTCGAAACTCGCTGGACTATCGTAGTGCACCCAACCGCAAGCGCTGCCGTCATTTCTCGCCCACACATCGCCGATGGACATTGTTGACAGAGTCGCGAGATCGCCACCGTGGCAAACCACCTTAGACGCTAGCTATCTCACCAACTGCGCCACTTACCCTAACACCGTTGTTCTCGCCGTTCTGCGATAGCATGACGACGGAATGGGAGGTTTCAGGAATGGCCTTTAGATCACAGGCCAAAGTGTATATAAACAGACAGAGTCTCTCTAAATAGACAGGGGGACAAGGCACAATCAATCAGATAGAACCACTCCTGTTCTGTGTACATCACTCCAGCAGGTGGCTTGAGGATGAGGTGACTAAGACTTCCACCCCAGAGTAAAGCGTCTGATGAATGGGATGCAGAGTTCATTGGAGCGCCTGAACGACGCGGCTCTTGACTTGGGTCAGGATTATACTACTTGTATTTCTGGAGGACTCGCTGTTCCTGTGCCTTCACTAACTCGGACGGTGTCGAGGGTCCATTTCTCCGCGGGAATAGGGACGAAGGCTTGGGGATTCAAACCACACCCCCGTGGAGTTGGGGCATCGAGTAGAGCCATGGTCGGCTTCGTATAGGAAGAATGCTTGCCAAGGTCAGAGGGAAAAAACATATTTTCTACGCTGCCAGCGCTTCTTCTGTCGCAGGTTCCGCGTTCTTGCCTTGAGCAAGGTATCGTGAAGCTCAACTACTGTGTCAAAATGGCTGCTGATAGCTCTACATTACTCATTACGCCGTTACACGAAACATTCCTCGCTCAGGTCGAAGGTATCGACTGGACAGCGCCAATCTCTGACGCAATCATCGCGGAAATGCAAAAGGCGATCGATAAATATGGCGTGTTGGTTTTTCGTAAAGCGAATATCGACAACGAGACGCAGGTAGCTCTAACAAAGGAGGTTCGGAGAGCTCGATTTCATGCCCTCCGTCTACATCAAGGACGCTTTCCTCACACTCCACAAATTTTTGACCTCTCCAACCTAGACGAGCAGGGGAACATCATCCTGTGGACGAATCGATTCTTATCTATGTCCATGAAGGGAAACCAACTGTGGCACGCCGACATGTAATACCACCCACACCGTGACAAGTATTCAATACTGCGAGGAGTCGAGATCCCCCCACCTGGCATGGGTGGTGAGACCGAATTCGCAGACTCGCGCACAGCATATGAAGCCCTGAGCCCGGAATGGAAGGAGCGCGTGGAGAACATGTTGATCAACTGCTCGTTGGTCCACAATCGACGGACAGGAGCCCCCGATTTGTACAAGGACGTTGACCCGATGAAATGGTCAATCTCTCGCTGGAAGGCCGTATATCCGCATGAGGGGAGTGGACGCAAGAACCTTGACAAGACGAGCTACGGCTACAAGATCGATGGCATGTCGGTCGAAGAGAGTCAAAAGATTACTGGCGAGCTGATTGCTCATAAAACACAGGCACAATTCGTCTACAAACTTTCTTGGAACAACCCGGGCGACACGATCATGTGGGACAACGCTGCAGTCTGGCACCATGCACTAGACGACTCAAAGTTCCAACACAAACAAGAGAGACATGCGTCGGACAAATACTTTGGATGATGGACCCCATGGTTGGGGAGAAAATGACCCGAACAACAACTGGAGAGTGCAAGCACTCAAAGATCCATATGCACATGAGAAAATCGTTCCAAAGACCGCGCCGGCGGACCTTCTCACTGCGGTGAAAGGTACAGTCTAGGATGCTGCGTAGAGGAGGGCCAAAACGAGATAATCTACAACAGCCAAAATTTAAATGTATCTTTGCTGCTATTTTGTCGTGTCTTCATTGTGCCATCTTAGTGTGAGTATTGTCTCGACAATACGAAAGCTTTAGGAGAGCGACTGGTATCATTAAGGTGACAAACCTCCCGAGCCATTGCACTCTTCCAGCAGACATTTCATGACGGGCCCACTTCTGGATGAATATGGATAACCATGCTCGCGTCCTCCATGGCCCTGATCTTGTCGTTCACTGTCAAGGGATCTGGGCTGCTGCAATTCCAATAGGACGTGCGATCCGACCCCTAAGTGCAACATAGTCAGTGGCCATGCCAACGGTGGGTTTTGGCACGTCTCCAGTTGTCGTCATGAACTCACGATAGTCTTTCAGGATTGCCGAAGCTCGGAGTTCTGAGTCTCCCCCAATCTCGCCCAGCATAACTATGCTCTTGGTCGCTGGGTCTCGGATCATGCCTGATATAGAATCTAATAAGCTTTCGGTTACGGTTCCTGATTATGTGGCCCAGTCAAGAGCTGTAGAGCTCTCGTTTCTGCCCACGTCCAATCAGGACAGCGAGAAACCTGGGTTATGAAGCACTCTTCATCACGGTCGATGCTTCTGTCATCGGCAAACGAGAAGAGGACGAGCGGTACAAGGCCGAGCTCGACTATGCTGCGAGAGGTGCAGAAGAAATAGAGCGAATCGCCCAAACCACCGCGAACGAAGCGCCACTGGTACTGCGAGGGACACACTCCTACACGCTTTCTTGGGACGACCTAAGGTACATTCGAGATGCATGGGGAGCCTCATCAGGACCCGTCGTTATCAAAGGCATTCAAACCGGGGAGGACACGAAGATAGCAGCTGACATGTGATTTGATGGTATCTACTTGAGCAACCATGGTGGCCGGCAGCTGGATTATGCTCCGAGCTCAATCAGAACCCTGCTTGAAATATGGCGATTCTGTCCCAAGATCCTGTCCAAAGTGCAAATATCCCTGGACGAAGGCATTCGCTGTGGTACCGACATCATTAAAACATTGTCTTGGAGCCGCTGCCGTCGGTATCGGTCGACCATTTAGTTATGGAATAGCTCTCGACGGGCTTGCAGGATGTAACAAAGTCACACAACGTAAGTCTTTCCCGACATCTGCCTTGATTTGATACCTGATATGCTGCAGTGCTGAGCGATGAAATCGAGACGACTATGAGGCTCCTTGGAGTTACAGATCTGGGACAGCTTGGGCTAGAAATGGTAAACTGTAGTGCTCTGGAAGAACAGCTTCCAACATGTCTGAAGTCCTTCCATGCAGCACCAAGAGCAAGAATAGATAATGCCCCACATTCGAAGACTTCGCGATGCAGCGACACCTCCAAACATACGCATCTCTGGAAAACAGACATCTATGAAAGTAACATCTTTTATTCAGCTGTTACCGATTATACCTCTATTACTGCGAAGCTGCAACTAAATATATCTCCAGTATCTTCACAAGAACAAACGCCTGGATATCTGACCTTGTATCTGAGAAATGTTGGATGTTCTGCTCATCGTTAATTTCTGCCTGCAAGATTGATGGTCTCGAGTGCCTTCCCGGCAAGGTAGCGATACCGCACACCTGCGTGAGGTCTTGAACAATCGTCTCGCACTGGGTTTCTCGTAGTAAGAATCGTCGCTAAAGCTGGAGGCCCTGAGTGGGTGCAATGACTTTTATCAGCAAGTAGTGAGACTGAGTTCGGCCGCCTACACCATCCCGAACATGAAGCCTTCACAAACTCTGCGAAAGCTGCCCCAGTTAGATAGGCACGCAGACATGTTCTAAAGATTGTGATCTATATGTCGTTATTCTTGTTTGGCTACCTAGCTAACCCACCAGCTCAAAACACAAATAAACCCCATTGAAGCAAATATTTAAGTATGATGTTTTCTATTGTGCCCTTCTCCTTCAGAGCTGTTGTCTTCTTTACTTTGTTGAATGAAATGCCGACTTGACTCTCCCCAACACTTCGGCTGTCTGCGATCGAATCATTCAAGGTGATGAACAATAGTGCGTGGCATACCTCGTAATATAAGGTGCCCTTGCGTATTCAGATCACGATGTGACCGAGACTCCACCCTCCTCCCCGGCTACGAGACTAACCAGACCCCAGGATTCCTATGACTGGATCGAAACATGTCGAATACGTGCACCCCGGAAGTCCTTCATGACCCTGTTGGCCCTCTGATATCTATACCAGAACACATTCATTCAGGATTTTGCCCGGAGTTTCTAGCCATGGATTGCCAATCGTTGAGCATCACTTCCAGATTACAACTCTACAGACCTAAAGCTGATCAACTAGATATTTCCTGATAATGCAACGGCGCACCAACAGAAAAGCTCTAGCAAGGACGGCCACATAAATCTGGGCATGTTGCGTTGAACTACGTACGAGACGCAAAGCGCCAATCTGGATGCGGCCTCAGCATGGTTGTTTTCTTTTCTTTTCTTTTCTTTTCAAAGAGGGAAGGCCTGTGCAAAGGCGGTATTCAGCATTCTAAACGTCACAAGCTCCGAGCGGTATGCATCTCCTCGTCTTTTCGCTCCGATCTGGAGATTGAAGTCTGATTCCGCGGCATTGGCTGGCACCTCGGGGATGGGTGACTGGGCGACAGTTGAAGTGTAGAAGGCTTCAGTGATAGCTGACTATTCTTTCCGCAATCCACGGAGGTCTTGTACACCGATCAAGAATACCAATTTATTATCATCGCTGTTCTTTGATCGTTTAGGACAATACTGCAGACCGTTGTCTTAACTCGATATGCCTCACGCAACCGATGTCGAAGTCACCCAGGTTGGGCCAACTTTCGATGCTGAACTCCGAGGCATCAATTTCAAATCAGCCAATTTCCGATGAGGCATTGGAAGAACTGAAACAAATCATCGGAAAATATGGTGTGGTCAGCGTCCGCAAGCTTGGACCCAAGTCCCACGACGACTTGATAGCATTTGGTGCTTGCTTTGGAGAACTCGACTCGATCAGACCACATAGGAAGGCCGGGAGAAAAATGCGGATCCCGCAAGAGGAGACTTTCGACATTAGTAATTTGGACGATAAGGGGGAGATCGTGACGACCGCAGACGCGGAAAGAATGGCCACTGCTTATGGCAAGTCGTTGGGGCATACAGACGGGACGTTCAACCCAAGCCGTACACATCTCTTTATGCTAAGAGCTGTGGCGCTTCCTCCAGAAGGCACTGGGGGCCACACGGAATACTTGGATGCAGCGCAAGCTTACGACAATCTTTCCGAGGAGATGAAGGAAAAGATCAAAGACTTGGTGGCCTGCCACTCCCTATTCCACAATCGAAAGACAGCCAATCCTGATTCGCCGTTGTTCAAGAACATCGTGCCATAGGATCACCCCATGGGAAAGCACAAGGTTGTCCAGCGCCACGATATCACCGGTCGGTCGGTTCTATTGATCAACTTGTACGCCCACCACATCGACGTAATGCCTCTGGAAGAAGGACAAGCGCTGATCCGTGAATTGTTTCACCATATGAAACAAGAGAAATACATGTACACGCACCACTGGAAGAATCGTGGTGACTTTGTTATCTGGGACAATACAAGTGTCCTACACCGGGCGACCATCGGAAACTACCAACACCATCATGTCAGAGGCCTTCGGAGGATCTCGACGTTAGACAGTGGTACGGCTGCGTATGGAATGAATGACCCCAACACGTATTGGCAGCAGGGTTTGCCATAGGCCTGTGTGTGGGTCTATGTTGTGGCAGTTCTTCGATGATCTTCCAGTTTTCACTTTTCGATGTCGCCGCAGTAGGACAATACTATGCAGCTGGTTACACGAATACTTTTCTGTAGTAAAATCCCTCTTCCGCTCAATAGTGCTTGGCCAACCCTTTTCAGTGGAGCATCAATGGTTGACGTTACGCCAGCTTTCCCAGACGACATGAAAGTTCATTTGCATTCGAGTGCTAGACGGATACTGTTTGAGTGTTGAACTAGAAAGACATTGACAATCTCACGCATTTGTCTCGGCTGTCTATCTGTGTTGTGTCTGAGAATGTTCCCCGCCGCTGATCTACAGAACAGCGTAGGAACAAGAGATTTCTCCTGAAACCTGCCACCCTTTCCTTCTTATGGCAATCCTGCCGATAGATCGACAGCATTGACACGAAGACCGTCAACATTAGGTGACTGTGACTTTCGTATCCCTTGATGGTGATTCTGGAGCAGAGTTTCATCTCGAGGGGTAAGTGTGTGCTTTTTCGAAGTAGTTCCAAGGGGAGACGGCTGAAGACTAAGTTCACTGGGCCTGAATCACACACAAGACAGTATACCATCAGAATAGAATCTGAAGGCCTTTTTCAAATACATTGTCTTGAAGGCCAGCAAGCCAGGTCTACAAAAGTAGGCAAACACTTAGCACAACCACCCCTGGCATACAACACTTTCACGTCTTGAATAGATCCCTGTTACCACATCCTCATTAGTCAACTTTTCCAAGTTAGACTTCCAGTCCCAGCCGCCTAGACGGTCGAAGCGACATAAGAATCGACTCTTCACTAGTCAGGAAACGGCGGCGCTGGACTAGGAGAAAGGGTCTTTAGTGTTATTTAGTGTTCTTCTAGACAGGAGGACTCACATACTGGTATTAGCTCTAAACTCTTATACAGGAAAATAAGAGGTTCTGCCATATAATATATATTTCTATTGTAACAAGGCAAAGTGGCTGTTCTCTGCTGTGCAGGGCTGATAGAGCGGTAGCAAAGGGGGGAAGTTGTCTAGTCACATGTCAAACCAAAATGGGCTGGCAGAGGGGAGTGCGGAACAGTTTACAGTGCGGGCAGAGGGCCATTCTTGACAGTTTTGAGGAGAGTATCATGAATTCCATGGCTTTTTTGGTGCCGTCTACCTAATTCCTGAGTGTTTTATCAGTTCTGTCCTGTTCCTCGATGCTGCCGCTGTGCTAGGTGTTCGTGGCCCTAGCCGCTGCCCCTCTGGGTGGTGTTGGTGGTGTTGTCTTGTCAGCGCCAACCAGAAACGCGTTCTCGATTCCCGACCTGCTGGACGGGCCTCTGTGCGTTGTTGCACGTGCACGCCGAACCCTGAAGTACGCTGTTACACTACCAGCCTGGACAAGCAGTAATAGCTACCGCCAAGGATCCCGACCGCAAATTGCTTATGAATCAACAAGCCGATGACTCGACCACCAGTGTGGGGGAGACGACTTGGATATAGGCCTCCGACCATAAAAAGGATGACATGAAACCAGACCCATTCTACGGTAGCTACACCAAGTTTAGGTCCTTCCGACCCAGCTCATGGTCATCTTGAGCTTAACCGACCCAGTTCTACGATAGACCTGTATAAGTAGTACATGCTGCACTGCACCTCAAGAGTCCTACCTTTACTTAGCTCAAACCAACTCTCACATATTATTTTGAGTTTGGTCTACTTGAATTGTGCACCAAACACCACTTCTTCGAACTCCCAGAGTTCGAATTAAGCAAGTATACGGGATCACCGACGTGGAAGGAGCTGCCACGCAAGTCATCTACGGCACCAAAGAGAATACTTGGCTACGCATTTATGTTATTCTTCCGGGCCGGTGCCGAAGAATGAGATGGCCTTGAATATTCGTCGGGCCTGTGGGTCGTGTGCATTGAACCGTTCAATGAGTGCGGGTCTTGGTCTAGCTCCGAGGTTTCAAGCCCCAGGTCCGATCCTGAAAAAACTGGTGCTTGTTTCATGAATCACAAGCGGTACGAGTTGTTGCGAGGACGGCTCGTTGTATCCTCTTCCTGTGCGTAAGTGGCTCCCGAGGAGAGCTACCTTCTGCCTGATAGGAGGGCTTGGCTAAGAGCGGTCTTCGTTGCGAGTGAAATACTATCAATGACCCGAAAACACCAAGACGTCACCCGAGGCCCATCAAATGCTGGAACGAAGCTTATTTGGCGCCCTGCTAATCTCTACTGGGGATACCTCCTCCTGCAGTTTGAAGTGACATTCACGATCTCTGCATGGGCTGTGGGGGGGCCGACAACGAAGTCGACTGAATAATAAGGCACGCTTTGCTACCTTTTTGTCGTACCCATACGCGTTTCCGCCGGCATCGCAATGACTAGCGCCTCATATCACGCAGTCGTTGCTTTTCCTGAAGAGTTCGACCCAATGTGGCGCGACGCCTTGTTGCAGCAAGATGTCGTCGAGCAAAATTCTGTTCTCACCAACGTAGGCATTATACCCTCGGAAACGAACACCAAACAACCTAGGAATCCGTCTGAGACCAGAAACAGTGCTTTGGGTAGCAAGAAGCGTTCGACTAAGCTCCAGCCCCTGAGTGAGCTACGGAAACGTCGAAAGTGCGTTCACGGTGATAGACGGACTATTTTGTCAAGCATGATATAACGAACACCAATACTGACCGCCTCCCGCGCTAGAACCATTGCAGCTGAAGTGGTGGCTGAGGAACACCCTGCACCTGGCTCAATCTTGTCCTCAACGACGCATCGTCCCTCAACAGAGATACGACCTCACAATGAAAGTGATGGATCGTCAGTGACGCGAGATGTCTGCAGTACTTCACCTTGTGAGTCACACCGGGTGAAATATTCAGTCGTACTCTTCTTCAAAGCCATTGTTGACTAGTTGGCTAACATGGGATGGTAAGCGTCGACTCCCCACTGCTCACAAGGACTTGGCTAGGTGGTTCTGCAATCTCCATGAGCGACTCATAACAGCTCAATTGTGGAGGAAACATGGGATCTCCTGTGCTCATGGCAACACCCACTTGAGTTTAATCTCGACCGTTGCTTCGTGCCTTCTGTTCATCGAGATCCTGGCCATACCTCAACCCCATTGAGTACGAGTTTCGGCCTCGACCCTCACTACTAGCAGACAGATGTCAACAGAGAGAAAAAGATCAGTCATTTCTGGGGAATAATGAGCAAGTTTTGGGGGACAGTCCTTCGTCTCTCAGCAAGAGATAAGAAAGCTTAGCATCGAGGAATAGCTGTGAGGGACGCATAATTGGTCCAATGGTATGCACATTTCCCATTCTAGAACGGGCACTAAGAAACGCGCGCTATTTAATGTGCTCAGTCTAGGATACAAATGAATCGACTTGGGCTGAAGTGTTGAAAACGTAATGCATTCACTGTGATTCGTTCGGGCCGGACTATTACGTCCGTGTCAAAATATTCGAACACTGCTCCAAAACCCATAGATGCAGCACTACGGCAAAGGATGCTCAGAGCCAGTTTCAGATGCTCTTTCAGCCTCGGCCCCCACGGAGACATGATCTTCGCTTGTGTCTTAGCATTAATCCCCTTCTCTCCATGGTCCTCCCTATGTGTCTCTTAAACTTTTGATTATCTTGAGCACGCGCTGCAACTACGCCGGCGTAGTTATCCCACACAACGCCCCAGATCTCGTCACCGCAAACACGCCTGGAGATGTCCAGGGCGCAGGGTTATCTTCTGTTCCCTTCCCCGATGCTTTGAAATGCGTCAAAATAATGAAGACCATTCATTGGCAGCTGGGAGCTCAAATCGCCAACGTCTCATCTTGATCCAGAAAGGCAGTGCCCATGGTAGTCTAGTAGATACCTCGAAGGGAGACTTTATTGAATGAGCACATATACCTCGGTGGAAATTTGGTATTTTGGACTACGGTCCTCGCCGGTAGGCGTCCAAGTGGAGCACCGCTACATCTGGGACTGTAAGCATAGGGAACCGGTTTACCTCGTTCTCTTTCCGAGATGAATTTTTTGCGCGTGGGGCATCGTGGAGCACCATTGACAGTGCATTCCGGTGAGAGACATCTTCAAGCATGCATCTTTGCCGAAATCGGTATAATTCAGTGGAGCTAGAAAGAGCATAGCTTCGAACTGTACGGTTCATCCGCCTCAGGCGAAGCATGTATTATCAAATGGACCCAAAAAGTCTCTTCTGATATCCCTGGCCAAGACACTTGAAACCGGTCTCTGTTGCCAAGAACTTGCTCGTCGACGAAGCGTGGGCAATACTCAGTCTTCCCGAGCCCCCATCGTGATCATCGATGCGAGGCTTGAGAATAAGGGTCGGGCCAGACTCGAAGAAGGAAGAATGTCGGGCTCTAATGACTAGCTGACAGTATGGTCTGGAAGGGAGTCGATGCTTATTTAACGGTGAGCGTGGCATTCATGACATTAAAATATCTAGCAATCGGCTTTTCCAGGCATCCTCTGCCTCACAGGTGCAAGACCGACCATACTTTCAATACCGGCCTCCTTGGGTCAGGATCGAATCCTCAATCCTATCGCCTTCCGATGTGTACCAAAGGCTCATTCTGACGGCAAGCGCATTATTTGATACCAGCCCTATTCGCCAGGCAGAGTGCTTCTCGGCGAGTCATAAATCTGCCAAGAGGAATCGAAGGAAACCTAGGAACATGGCGCGCTGTCTGGCCCGTACCCTCGCCATCTGTGGCCATCTTCTGATTGTTCAGGCCATGATGTCTAGCGGACGCGACGGACATGGTCTCATCGGCTATGGCATCCACATGTATTTTCCTGTCTGCGCCACCGCATGTCGCGATGCTCTGTCTGGAAGTCGGCTGAACTGCTCCGAGGTCATGGAGATGGACGACGCGGGAGGCATGGACATGGGTGGCGGCGACTATATGACTTCGCCCGATTGTTACGCCGCCGACGACGCCTTCCTTCAGTCTGTGGCCTGGTGCATCCGTCAGCGGTGCTATCTCGACCCGAAACGCCCGGACGATTTACCCGTGTGGCAGGTCGAACGATGGTGGCTTGAATATATCCCCGGTAGACTCAAAGTGCAGCCTGAGCCCAAAGAGACGTATCAGCAAGCACTGGCCAAGGTAACGACGCCCCCAACTGAGACTCTCGTCGCGGGTGAGCCACTGAACCAGACCATGCTGGTTTCCGATGGCGACTACTGGCCAGACCGAAATGCAGACAGCATCTTTGAAGTGGCCGAAGTCACTCACGAACGTTATGCGTAAGTCGGGAAGGAATGTGATGTTGGGGCATGCAAGCTAATCTGCAATGCAGCCTTGTTGTCTTCTTATCCGGCGTGGTCATTCCCGTTGGCTTTTCGCTATTACGCTTTATTCCGCTCCCCAAGACCTGGTTGACACTATTTAATGCCTGGGTCATCGACCCTCCGGCCATTGGCCGACACCATAAAGTCCCCATCTTCTGGGGTTTGACGAACATGCCAACCCGTGGCCAGGCACTCTTCATTGCCTACCTGACCATTATCAATGTTGTTCTGTGCGCCGTCGGTTACTCATCGAGACAGCCTAACTCGTGGTTCCCGGACGGCAGCAGCCAGGAGATCCTGTCGTACGTCACCAATCGCATGGGCGTCCTCAGCTTCGCCAATGTGCCGCTGCTCATCCTGTATGCTGGCCGGAACAACGTGCTGTTGTGGTTGACTGATTGGAGCCACGAGACATTCCTGCTGCTCCATCGTTATATTGCTGCTATCGCCACACTACAGGCTGTCCTGCACTCTGCCATTTATCTACAGATATATTCGGCTGATGGCGAGCACGGTAGCGAGAGCAAGCTTCCTTATTGGTACTGGGGCGCCATTGCGACGATTGGCATGTCCATCCTGCTTCCGACGTCGATCTTGCCCCTGCGAACAATGTTGTATGAAGCGTTTTTGCTGTGGCATGTGGCTATATCTGTGTTGGTGGTTGCAGGCTGCTACTTACACATCTATTACCGCTTCGAACATCAATGGGGGTACGAGGTCTGGATCTATGTTGCATTTGCCGTCTGGGGCTTCGATCGCGTCCTTCGTATTCTACGACTGGCTCGAAATGGCATCCGGTGGGCAATCGTTTCTGTCATCGATGATGATTATATCCGCGTTGATATCGAAGGCGTCGCAGGTAACGGCTACGCATATCTATATTTCCCCACCCTGACGTGGCGAGTGTGGGAGAACCATCCTTTCTCTGTCGCGTCTACCTTTGTGCACCCGCAGACGAGCACGGAGCGAGCACAGCTGAACATCGACATTGAGAAGAAGGGGGCTAAAACCGCCGAATCAAGTCCTTCTAGTGACGCAGATTCAATAAGCACGACCCCTGCTGCACGTCCAAAGCTGACGCTTACCTTTCTTCTGCGCACCCGTGGAGGCTTGACTGCACTGCTGCGCTCTCGTCAAAAACTACCGGTTCTCGTGGAGTCGTCGTATGGCTCGCATCTCGATCTTTCTGAATACCCCAATCTGGTCTGCGTCGCCGGCGGGGTGGGAATCACTTCGGTACTGCCACTTCTACGCTCTCATCCCGGTCGCAGCAAGCTCCTCTGGGGGGTCCGCTCCAGCGGCATCGTTGAAGCCATGTCCACGGAGCTGAATGGTTTCGAAAAAGAAGTGTTCATTGGTCATCGGATGGACGTCCTCAAGGGGCTGGAGAAAGAACTGTGCTTTTCCCGGGAAAATTCTGTCGTAGTGGTTAGCGGTCCTGCCAGCATGACCGACGACGTGAGGAACGCCGTTTGCGCCATTGGCAAGAGAGGGAAGAAGGTGTCGGTAAAACTGGTGGAGGAGTCATTTTCATGGTGATCCCAGCTTTTGTCAAATTGGGAACAGCGAGAACGAATACGGAGGGTCAAAGAGTCTAACAGTTTAAGCGACGACCATTATCTCTTAGTCCCATCTGTGTAGTATTCAGTACTCCGACAGGCCAAAGGTAAAGGTCGGATTCCAAGTTCCGACGCAGTGGATGTCGTACTCGGATCCATGATTGAATGATCATGTACACGCGGAGAATAGAATTCACGAAATTAACGGCCTCTACAAACAATAAAATATATTTAACAAAATGACATTATTTAAAGATCATGTTCTCCATCTGCAGGCTCGACGCCAAGATACCGTCGTCCTTTGTGGATTTTCTGGTACGCGTATTGGGAGCTACTCGCTTCGCCTCGATTTCTCGTTGTCTTCAGCCGCGCCTGTATGCGTGAACAGCGGTCGTTGTGCAAATTGAATACTAGTATTCCCGAGTGATATCCGTGGCGCCGACCGCAACTGACGAAATGAGGCTAGAAAGACCGGACATGCTTGTTATGACAACTAGGAGTAGAGCTGCTCACTCGCCGATCTAAGAGGGCTGTATCTTTATGAGAACCGCGCGACTTACTTCCCCCGAAGTTCCGTTTCCGCCCGCAGTACCATTGTTGCAGACGACGGTCGAATTTTCCACGCCTTCACACTCCTGTGGGTCACCTCCCTCCCTGAGATCCGTCGTGACCCTTGCCAATGTAGCATTCGCAGTTGGAAAGCTGTCTTCGGGACAACCGATGGCTGCCACCACAACATATGCACCTTGTTCGTACGCCGTGAAATTGTCGACAACACAGGTCGGCATGTTCTCGTAGATGGCGGCGTTGACGCACAGAAGATTGTTGACCGGCCTGTTGCAGCAGTGCCTGAGACACATAGGCCATTCAATGCCGGACGGAGTGAAGTTGAAAGTCCCGGGGCTTGGCTCATGCTGTGGTTGACACCTGTTCCGCTTGAGTCGTCATCGCCGCCGTGGCGAACTATGAGTCCAGACAAGAACAGCGAGGATGCTACCGTCTCAGCGAAAGATGGCTGAGAGTGTAGACAAAACAAGGAGAAACTTTGTGACTGTATTTGCTCCGAGGCTGTATGATTCGAGCTGAATAACTGGTCTTCTGTTCACAGAAATAGAAGAGAAATGTACCGTTCAGCGTCGAATGTCTACTCTTATGAGAAGTCCTAGTGGCTTTCCTGGCCAGCTCTCCCCTACCAGCATGTCCACTATCACTTGGATTTCATGTCCAAACATTGCAAATGCCAAACGAACAAGGAGGGAGCGGAGTTTGAGTAAGTTCTGGACACAAAGAAGGTCTTTTTGCTATATTCTCAAACTTTTTTTCACATGGAAACTAGTACACTTCAAATGGATGTACCAATCGTATAGTTTGCTGGGTACAAGTCCTGGCAAAGAATTGTCGAGTCGACCAAGGGCTGAGTCATGAAACCGTCGGTTCAAAATACAAGTGCGTAGAATCTGTATCGAATTGTCCCGCATTCGGCGTGTTTCGAAATGCTCCAGACCTTATTAAGTACTGTTTCCCTGCTTGACCTTTCCCTCACTCCAACAGTCGAACCTCATCCTTCTTTTCTTTCTGTATTTGAGGGATTTTGATGGATCGCAAATTGGAGCCTTGGTAGAGTCAACAGTAGTATTAAAGCTATGGTTGAGGATCGGAGCCCGATAAGTTTATACGATCGATCGGGGATTGATCCCACCTATAGAGGCACATATGTACTTAATGACCGCAGGGCCAAGAAACAGAATCAAGTACCAGCGATGAGAATAATGAGGAGCCGAGCCGAAGTTGAGGTAGATAATCCGATCGGTCCGTTAAGAAAGCGGCAGGCCATAGTCCCAAACAGGCTACCGAAGGCCAGGCGCTCCGTTACCGCCGCATATCCAAACAAATGGCTGGTGTCAGATTGAAAGGCGTCAAAGCGGAAAGAGGAAGAAGAGCGGAAAAGGGTTGATCCGCGCGGAGGCACTTTCCGCTATTCTGGGAAGCGCCCAAGGCAGCCAATCAGATCGAATTGCGCAAAACTTCAAATGCATTGCCGTGGAAATTCCTCCGCTCTCTCTTTCCCCTTCACTCTCCATGCATCCCATCGACAACCACCCTGATGCATTTGCGCATTGTTCCTCCTCTTCGCCAATGCGGCAAGCATAGTGGAGTGCTTCTTTTCTGCCATAGCCACACACGGTCAGTTTGGCACATCGGCTGCGCTGACGACATTCGACTGGACAAGATGAATTAGGAAACCGTTGCCGAAATGATTGAGCATCAACCGTGCAAGCTTGCATCTCTCGCACCATGTCCATCCGCTGCTGCTCATTTCAAATTCTTTCTCAAGATCCAAAGGGCGTTCGTAACGGTAGGACTTCGGGGTCGAAGGCTTTCGCCAATGGTTTGAAAAATGTAGGGGGAGAGACCAGTATTCCCGAATGACTCTCATCAGCAGTTTCGGCTTTGGCCTATAAAAGCCGGCACCTCTGGAACCCTGATCAAAAATGTACTCTACAACTTCCAGTTTCTTTACTTCTATTTTCTTCCTTCGCCATGGTACCTCATCCTTTGGACATCCTCTCAGCCGCGGAGACGAATGGAGCTCGTGACCTCATCCTCGATCTCCACCAAGATGCTGTTCTGAGCTTTCGTGAAATTTACTTGGACGAACCGCCAAAGGAGAAACTCATTCAATACCTGTTGGCGGAACACTCTGGGAAGGATGCTGCTCCCATACCTCGACGTGCCCTAGTGCAGTACGATGTTATTGGTGCAGATAGGGTACCACAATTCAATGAAGCTATTGTCGATCTCGACCAACAAAAGAGAGTCTCACATGTTGTAGTTGACAAGTCTCAACATGCGAGTTTGATACTGTAACTATCCATCCCATCAATGCGACCCACGGAAACCCGCTAACAACAAAATCAGCTCCGAATTTGACACCCTGGTTGAAGTTTGCACATCGTCTCAGATGTTCAAAGATGTCTGTGCCGAAATCTCGCTTCCAGAGGGGTTTGAAGTCGTCGTCGAACCGTGGCCCTATGGTGGGTTGTCTCCGGACGAGGAGAATCGACGCTATTTTCAAGGCTTGTGCTTCGCTCGAGACACGAGATCTGGCAACGCTGACTCGAATTTCTACGCCTATCCTTTGCCTTTCATACCTGTCATGGACGCACACAAGAGAGAGATCATCCGAATCGACCGACTTGCAACTGGTGGCAAAGACGATGGACTGGATGCAAAAACACACTCTAAGAATGTCATTGGCCATTGCAAGCGCTCTGAATACGCACCCGAGCTCCTTGAAAATGGCACGCGGAAAAACCTCAAGCCTCTCAACGTTCTGCAACCAGAGGGTCCTTCGTTTTCGGTAGAGGGAGGGCTTATCGAATGGCAAAACTGGAGATTCCGCGTGAGTTTCAATCCTAGAGAAGGTGCTGTCATCCACGACGTCCATTTTGGCGGCAGAAGTGTGATCTACAGGCTGAGCATCAGCGAAATGACTGTTCCTTATGCGGATCCTCGTGGGCCTTTCCCTCGCAAACAAGCATTCGACTTTGGTGATGGTGGAGCGGGAAATTGTGCCAATAACCTATCCCTGGGCTGTGACTGTCTCGGGGTTATCAAATACTTCGATGGAATCGTCACTGGACCAGATGGCACCGCCAAACCCGCACCCAATGTTATTTGTCTTCACGAACAAGACAACGGCATCGGCTGGAAGCACACAAATTGGCGGACAGGACGTGCTGTCGTAACAAGATACCGTGAGCTGGTTGTTCAGTTCATCATTACCCTCGCCAATTACGAATACATCTTCGCATACAAGTTCGACCAGGCTGGTGGGATTACCGTTGAAACTCGTGCAACTGGCATTGTGTCAGTCGTAAATATCGACCCAGGAAAGACAAGTGCATATGGGAATGTCGTGTCACCTGGCGCATTGGCACAGAATCATCAGCACGTGTTCTGCGTTCGCATCGACCCTGCCATCGACGGATACAAAAACACAGTCTTGGCAGAAGAGTCACACCGTGTGCCAATCAACAAGAAAACGAATCCGCAGGGGAACTTTTACGAAGTTCGGCAGACCGTCATTGATCGAAGTCAGTATCTGGACGCTGCCCCGCAGCATAATCGGGTGATCAAGATGATCAACAGGAGTAAAATAAATCCTATAAGTGGGAAACCAGTTGGGTACAAATTTACACCAGCTGCGACACAATTGTTGCTTGCCGATCCCCAGTCTGTCCAATCTAAACGGGCATTATTCGCACAGCATCATGTCTGGGTGACCAAACATCTAGACGGCGAGCTATACGCAGGTGGCAAATATACATTGCAGAGTCAAAACGAAATCGGTGGAGTTGCTGACGCTGTGAAGCGTGATGAAGCCATCGAGGACGAGGACGTCGTTGTGTGGAATGTGTTTGGGCTCACCCATAACCCCAGAGTGGAGGATTGGCCCGTCATGTAAGTTGCCATGTTTTATCAATCCCTACTACTTAGTTGTACTGAAGCATCCTAACGTTTCAGCAGGCCAGTTGAAATCCATCAACTGCACATCAAGCCTACAGATTTCTTCACCGAGAACCCAGCGATTGATGTACCGTCAACGAAGAACGAAGCATCCGTGTTGACAGATGGAAGTGTGCCTCTTCGAAAGGACTGCTGTACTGGGTAGGATGTGGCTCTACAAACAGTCCTGCCCATCACAAGGCGTTTAATCCCATCTCTAGATAGTACATAACTACTAGTACAAGTAGTAGTCTTGATCATATTTAGGAACGTCTCTGACAATTCTCAACTCTAAATGGATATGAATCTCGTGCTTTAGAGAGGTCTCAGACAGACTCAAACCAGTCTAGAGACTCTCCAGATCTAATATTAAATCCGGACTTATACTGGTACTAGTACCTAGGATGTATGTGGACGCCTCAAATTTTCTATACTCCATAGTACTTAGTATTATTGGTACTGGTGATATAAGTAAGCCAGCTTAAGCTGAGTTCGCGCTAGAATCAGGCTGGAATTTAATTACCTTACCTAGACCAGCTCTCCATATAGAGAGAGGGAGAGAATGAGAGAGTAAAATAAAACGCAGCACCAAATTCGCTATATTAGGTTTAGCCAATTTAAGTGTCCCAGAGGTACCTGTTCTGGATTAGCGCCATTTATATTGGGTATAGCTTCTACTTTAAGATTGAGTACAGAATACTAGTAGGTCCTACCCTAATAATCTCTAAAATGTCCTAGAAGGTCCCGACTCTTGGCTACTAGTACAATTGAGCTTTAAGTTGATTCAGAGTTTCTGGAGACTCCTTGACTTGGACTGTGGCTTCCAATCAATTGGGGAATTTTGCACAGAGCTTATCTTGCCATCTGACTGCTTAACCCAATCCCTGATACTAGTACTATTGTGAAAAGTGAAAAGTGAAAAGTGAAGGTTCCTGAAGGTGCGAACTTGAGACAATTTCCTAGAAGTACTAGTAGTACATAAGTACTAGTACTGCATGGTTTTAAGTGCAATTATGAGAACATTAAATCTTTTCTGGACGAGACCTTGAATTCTTGTCAGGAGAGCAACAGCCAAAGCTGACCATGTCAAACGAGAGGGCCGGCGTTGGACTTGCAATTACGTCACAGACAATCGAAGACTCGTTCTCAAACAATGCCAGTACTAGTGTCTCTTACACTACTACTACTACTATAGTACCGGCAGCCGCCGTGATGGCGACCCGACCAAGGTCAGCAAAGTGAAATAGGAAGTTAGTAGAATACTAGTAGTACTAGTATCAAATGTACTACTAGTACTTGGATACTAGTAAACTTTGGGAGCAAGATGCGCGATTTCATGAACAGAGGCGAATGCAGATGCAGCGGGGCTCCCCGTAGACATTTCAAGGTACGCTGTACGGGCTGCCAGGCCAGGGAAATTGCACGGCCTGGGGTGCCGTCCAAGAGGCGAGCGAGGCTGGAAGAATTAGGGGTTCATTCTTCGGCAAATCTTCGGCACGTCGCCCATGCATAAACTATTGAAATACTGTATCCTCGCATTAAATTACGATCATCGTTATCGTCATCATCACGGTTCTGGATCTAGCTCAAGAAAAAAGTCTTCATCGCCCTCGGCTCCACGGTCGCCTCGAACGTCCCACTAATCGGCGTCTGCCCGACCATTGTCACATTGTGCTCGTTGTCCGTCAAATAGGCTGTGGCAGTGGAGGCATTGATCCCGCTCAGATTGATGGTCAGCTGGTAGGGGAAGTGCGCCTCATTGATGACGGGGATGGCGACGGTGCCGTTCGCGTTGACGTAGGCACTGACATAGACGTTCTCGGCGCTGCTCGTCGCCCCGATACGCACGGAGCCCGGGCGCGCGAAGCGGAAGTACGACGCAAACGCCCACAGACGGGCCGACACGAAGTAATCGTCGTAGTCGAGCCTGATCAGGGCGTTGTCGCCCGTCGTGTTCTGCGCGCACCACCAGTGCGTGTACCCCGAGGTGTCGGAGTTCACGAAGGCGTTGTGCATGTACATCGCCCATTGGAATCCCTCGCTTAGCAAGACAGTTAGGTCAGTTGGGGGGTTCCTCAGAAAGAATGGTCAGATGAGGTTCCTTACGCGAGCTGTCCAGACACATCCCAGTTGGCATTCCATGGTCCAGAGCCCTGTTTGTTGTCAGTCTGGGTCTTTGACGGGTTCTCTTTACTACCAACATCAGCCCACTCGGTCATCAGATTCGGCTTTCCATTAGAGTTGAACGGTCTCTCAGGATTGCTTTGATAGTTATGCCATGTCTGGATGCTTTAGCTTTGCCTTCAGTCGGCCAGCAAGAAACTTACAGCAACATCAAAGAGATCCGCGCCGCCCGCTTGTTGCAGCTCGTACAAAATGTTCCTCTCCTGTCGAGCACCAGTGGCGTCGCAGCACGCAACACTGATATTGGGAAAGGCCGCTTTTGCTGTCGGATACAAAATCTCCAAGAAATCCTTTGCTTGGTAGCCGTCGGACTCCATGCAAGCATAGGTGACAGGATTGAAGTCCGGTTCGTTATAGGCACCGAGGAGTGAGACTTCAATGCCTTCCTGCTCGTAGAACTTGACGTATTGCACCAGATAGTCGGCATATGCTTGTCTCCAGTCACCACTGCAGTTGCTGCTGCCTCTAACGCCGCAGATCAGACCGCCTTCGTCTTCGGTGCCAACTGTCTTCATACACCCGGGAGCAGACCACGCATCGGCATACACATAAATATTGGGGTTGTACTTGAGTGCTGTCCGAGTAAGCTGCAGTTGGCATGTATCGTTTCCATCCCAGACATAATTGAACGGTCCTGCTGGAGTGGGCGGGCAGACTGGGAGGATGGACGCGACGTCCCCACGAATATGACCTGGAGTTGACCCGATATCGTTGCGAATAATTGACAATCCCCCGATGTTCTCATCAAAGAGAATTTGAGTGACAAGTTCTTGCTTTGCTGGAGAGAGTCCTACGGAGCCGAATTGTTGACATGCAATGCCAAATGCACCTGAACATCCACCACCAATCATGGTCTGATACTTCTGGAATGCATTGACCGAGATGGCCGCCGAGTATGTAATGTTTGGGGCGTAGGTCCATGCAGAGATGCCAGCGGCGAAAGCAGCGACGATGAGATTCCTCATTTTGCTCCCTGATCTTGTCCGACGATCGTCTGGCCAAACAAGGTCCAATGCAGGTACAGCATATGTACTTTTTCATCTCCCCGCACGCATCGCTCCGTACGGATTGTAGAGTCCCCAGATCGTCTTTTACCCGGGGCATTTTGATCTGTAGCATTTACCCGGCGGCCATTCTCCGACCTGCCACCGCCTGCCAGGCAGACTAACCAGGTACTGTCGTCAAAATCCATCCTTTCTCGCTTGCATTCCACTACAAAGTCGCAGAAAGATGACGACAATGAACATTTGAACCAGGAACCATAGTGTCGTGTGGATGTTGCTGCTGTATTCCACTCACTCCGCACTGGGGGTTTTAGCCAATTTTCTACCGGCATTAGTAATACTGTAGGACTCGGGCCTTGTAGATTGACGTCGGTGTGGTAGTAGCAAGAGAATGCACGATGGAGGTGGATGGATGGATGTACGACAAGGGCAATGGGTAAAAGGGAGGATTCTGGAAAATGGCCGCATCATTTGCCGATGTCTTCCGAGTTGCCGAAGCAAATGGAGTATTATCTCCAAGGTCCTCACTATTCATGCACGATGTAAGTAGATTGGTGTTCAGCGATGACAGGGCACCTGGTCTTGCCACTTGTTGGACAAAGGTCCGTGAGAGCTTGTTTGATTCATCGAAGAGAGAGAAGAAATCTACATGTGATGGAAGAGGCTTAAATACCAGCCTGAGCCGCTGTGCCAAGAGACATAAGTACTAACTTAATCTGGCTAGATCAAACTCCCTTGACCCAGGTGTCAGGTGACCAGGTTCAACTTCGGCTCAACTTCGGCATGATTTGATCAGGCTGCTCAGGCCTGCTGGTCCCTCGTCATTGCTCTATTTTCACTTTTTAGAGATATTGGCTTGACAATTGCCTCTATTCAATATCGCCAGCGCCCATGAGCAAATACCCCCGCAGCGACAGCGGCAGTCCCGCACAGGGAGCACCACTTTCTCCGGTCAAATTTGCTCGATTTGAGAAGGGAATGCTGGAGTTTTTCGAAGCCAGGCGTGACCAGGTCGAATATCTTGCATTCTCACACGTCTGGGGTGACTGAAAATGGCAAACTATCCCAGGTGTTCCATATAAAGCAAAGGCATCGCAAGACAGGGCTACCTTCATTGCAAATGGTCTCCCCACGCTCATAGGCAACAGTTCGTTCTGGATGGATACCGACGGGGCTTCAATGCAAAGAGGAAGAGCTTCTGGCCATTGTGGCCTTCATCCCTACAATATTCAAGATGGCTGAACGGACCATTGCAGCGCGTGAATGCGACGGACTATGCGAATTTTTCATGAAAGCCATCGAAGACTTTCAAAAATACCCGAGACTTCGTTGAAAGATTGCATCCACATAGTGTCGACCATCGCGAGGATGTTTACGATTGGTCGTACCTACAGAGATTATGGACATTACAGGAGTACCTACTGTCGCACACTGTTCAGCTTGTTGTTGGCCGCAGCAGCAGCGGTATGTGCAATATACGCACTGACACTTCTGCCAGATGGTGATTACTTCCTTTAGATCAACCGAGGAAGCGATTGAGAAAGGAGAGGCCCGGCAATTTGAACTTTCACAGAAGCCAGATTGATCGGGCTGTTATCAGTGACTCTCTCTAGGTCCTAGCTTACACCTTCAAAGGTAAGGAGGAAGTTTCCAGCATCACAGAGTGCCTCAGGGCAACGTTTTTGGGCGGAACTGTACCGAATTTCCACCATCTACTTCGCACAGAAGAGGAAGATATACACGCGGGCAACTTTATTCGAGTTAATTTGGCACCCCACAGATCAGTGACCATGGCTCGAGATTATGTATTTGCGCCCATGTCGCAATCTCCATGATATTAATACCCCAGGGAGGCAATCGAGATGTCCTTTGGGGAAGTCTATTATGATCTCTACCAGCAGGCTGCCAATTCTGGCCATCCGTTCACATGCCGATTTGCAAATTCAATATTAGACGCCGAATCGGTTGGACTTTTCCA